ACAACTGAGCCATTATCATAGGTTATCGATCTATAGTCTGACTTTATTCCCCTCAGTAAGACAAGGCCAAGCTTAACATCCTACAACAAGTCCTGCTATCAGTATCATTGACGTCACAATTGACCACAGTTTAGTTACCATGGATATATCATTAACTATGGTAAAAAATAACTGGACATTGTTAGAAACTAAGACTAATTCAGAAGATAATTGGTTTAAGTGTTAAAAAGACTAAATACAGTGCCATTAGGTACAGAAAGATGAACCATCAACATTATAAATTAGACTGGAAACATTGACCAGAAGTTTCATTTCATTTGAATTCCGGAAATACATAATCTTATCTGTTCCAAATCAATATTTCAAATTCAGGAAGAGACAATTTCCTTCATATATTACTGCGTACCAAAAGAAGAAAAAATTTTGATTTATCTATGGATAGGCAATGCAAAATGTCAGAAAAGTGTTGAAATAATTTGGCCATTTCGAGCAATACATATCTGTACAAATATACATTCTTTTCTAGGTTTTCAACCACAGGGACATGTCCCAAGGTGGGAAATTTTCACTTTTCTATGGGGACATTAGATGTGTCACAATCATAGTTACAATTTTGATATTTGGGGACATCATTTTCAAGCCGATTCGATTTGGGGGCACATACAAAAACAGGTTGAAAACCACTGGCTTAGTAGAATCACCTTCAATTAACTAAATATGATCATCTAAGTTTGAGAAATTCCCTGATGAGAATTCAGTACAGAAGGCCAATACATCATCAATAATTCTAGATACTATACACATATATCAGAATCCTTGTCAGAAACAGACACTCTGGGACTCTGGATACTGTAAACAAACAAGCAATTAATACCACACTCTTTAATATTTCAATATATAGACCAGTATATTGACAATACCATTGACAGAATTAGAGTTACTTGTTCAAATATACAGCAATATCACAATGTTTTTTCTAAATGGAATCATTATATTGATTATTTACTCGTTTACCGAGGTGAACTGTTTTAATCATTAACTAATTAGGAGAATAATGTACCCTATGATCAATATACAGTAAAGCAACATTTTAATATATAATATATTTAACACCCTAGGGATACTGATTTCATAACTGATTTCACTATCATTATTAGTTAATGTTCACCAAATTTCTTTTATCGAAAATCATCTGGAATATATCTGGAATCTATCATTCAACTATAACATTTTCTTTGTATGTATATCCATGACAATTTTTGCACCATATTGATTTCCCATCCAATGTCTGTGGTTCGTAGTATATCAGAATGATTAAGATGTTGCTATTAATTGCAAAATTGCTTTTGGCTTGATCAGTTATTGAATGTATTTCTGGAATTACAGGAACAAAAGACCTAAGACAGGAGATCAAAATAGTGTAAATGTAAATCAGATGCCATAAATACCTTAAAACACTGTTATAAAGACAGGAACTTGACTTGAATCCAGTTTATTTATTAAATGAAATCACAGCATTCTTATTATAAAAATTTCATGCTTATAATTTTTTCTATTGTTTCTTTTCTGAATAAGTGCAAACAAATGATTGCTAACTACTGTAAGAAATTGTTTATTGCAAGTTTTCATTAAATAAGCTTATTTATAGCATTGCTATCAGATCATTTATCTATTATTATTGTGTTTTAAATATTAATTGTTTATTTATCTGTTTGATACCCACCTCTGACAAATGTAGAATATAAATAATAGTATTAATAATGTAGGATTTTATGTAAACTGAGACTTTTAATATCTTTTTTTACTCTTATTTACAATTTACGTGAGAATAGACTACAAATTCAGATGATATCAAATATTTTGCTTGAAAATTTTAACAAAATCTAAATTAAGGAATACCATCAGAATTCCGTGGCCTGCTCATTTCATGTCACTTAGCTATGAACTGAATATTGTTTGTCAAGAATCCAATCAAATTCAATGTGTCCAATGTCCTGACATGTACAGAGCAGGTAATTGACTTTTGACAAGGAATGAGAATAAATTAATTGTTTTTGGTGTTTCTATAATCAATATAATGCAATTTTTCATTTTTCAGTCACAATTGATCTAGAGAGTTTTATAATATATTTTCTCTTTCAAAAAGACAAATGTCTTTCAATGCATGGATACAAAATCTATATCCATAGAAATATTACATTCCGATTGCCAACTAGGCTTTTTTCAAAGTACTATAATGCTCTATAGGATGTCCACCACAATATTATCAATATATAATAATCAATTTATTTCATACATTGTATAATTCTTACAGTGTCAATATGAAGATTATATGAGAGGAAAGCGTAGGAGTTGAAATATGACAGAATTCTAAATCTATTCTAGTTATAACACAACAATTTTATATTACAACTTATTATCATAGTTTAACTGAACTTTCATATCTTCCTTTCATATACTATCAATTTTGTACAGTTATCAAAATAATTCAAATGGCACAAATGTGAATTGATGTTGTCAATCTACTAAATTCCACTTTGTTGAAAAATGAATACAAGTGCAATAATGGTAGGTTGGCCAATACTGTCACAATCATTTCACCTTCACTTGTTACAATAACTGATGAGATTTCATTCAGTAACATCACATTCATATCACCTGAATCATTTTTACTTTGATGTAATTCTGGAATGTATTAGTCACCAGGTGACACTAATTGTTGGTGATAAATAATTATTACTAGCATATCTAGCAAGGTCCTGGTTTAACACAATTGATAACTTGATATATTATGAACATTGGTCTAATATTGTTTTTCTCAAAATATTTAGAATTTTCTAAAACAGTGCTTTGAAAGATGTCTTTCACATAGTGTATTCAATTTATTTGCTATCAATAAATAGATTTCAATGGCAATATTTCAATTAGAATTGAGCTCAGTTTAGTTTAGAAAGGTGAAAGTTGACAGGATGACTGAACAGACCAATCAAATTTTTTCTTTGACTTTGATACAGACATGATTGTTAAAGAAGATTTTTTAAAACGCTTAGTTTTAGTAGAATTGCGAGAAACAAAGACGTCTGACTGAAAATTGGAATGGTGGGATTTAATGCCACCAATGTCCTCCATAGACATAAAAAGTTAGAAAACATCTTTAGAATCTCTTTAAGATATTTTCATTCTGATTACCTTTTTGTGCCATAAAATTTAAAAATTACAAACATCAGAACTATCCTACTCTAATCTACATCATAGTTTAACATTCATGATGTATAGTACTTTAGGTTGGATTTAAAATTATTAGGTGTCTCAGCTAATCATTCTAAAAATAACATTTCTATTAAATTTCTAAAGGTTCTTATAGGCTGTTTATAATGACTATTATAGATAGTTAACCTACTCTAACACACAGATATATAATAGGTTGGATAATGGACTCTCTGAAAGCCTGACCTATTTGGTTGGAAAATTGTTTTTAGAAGACAATACCAAAACATAAGAACCAGAAAGACATTTTTGATATTGATTTCCCAATTGAATGGAAAAACTTATGATCCAGACAAGCAAGAACGATACATTATAAGAAATCAAATTATTTCTGATTGGTTTGACTGTACAAATCCCTGTCTCAAACTTTTCACTGACTATTTCCTTCGAGATCTTTTAGTCTATTAGGAATTTGATGATATGTCACACAACTACACCAATCTGGCTGCATTAGAATGTAATATTTCAAACATGTGTATGGTATATGTATGTCTGCAATAATAATAAGTTTTGTCCATACAAATCAGTGTTTAACAGACAAAAATAACTTTTAGAATCAACAGAATTTCATTAGCAACATAACAACTTGAATTTCAATATTACTATTATTTCTTTTTAAATCATATATATATATATCATAATGTGTCATTTCTGTAAGAGGTTTCAGTCTATAATGCTGATCCACCATCAGAATAAAATGATAAAGATGGAAATAATAACGTAGGTTATTTCTCTGAATATATTCAATGCTTACAACAGAGAAACACAAACTGTTAACCAACAGAATTATGTAGTCCTTTCCAGTTTCTTTTCATCAAAATTAAATTGTACATTTATGTGGTACCTAAGCTGCCACTGCCATTGAATCTCATTTTCTTTGACATTACTATATAAACTGACAAATAGACATTAATGA